GTAAAAAAATAATTTAAGAGGCTACCGTTAACAGAAAAACCCCTTATCTCACGAGATCAGCTCTGCTTTCTTGTTGTATCGTACGTGTATTGGCCTACATTGCTATCAGTAACTAAGTTCGACTACCCCATTATCTGCGCCAACAACAACTTAGCTCCTTCAACAAGGATGGCCTTGAAGCACAACTTGGTTACTGCAACCAAAATAGAAAAAAATGCAAAAACGCAATGAAAAATGCTTAATGATTTGCGAAAATTGATGCTAATAAAAAGGACATTGCAAATAAGGTAAATGTGACCAATCTCGCAACACCATACACTCGTCGATTTATTATTACCTACTCATTTTCAATGATATACTGTGTTTGTACCGCTTGCTGAAAAAAATGACTGACAAGTTTGGTCTACTGTTTGAACAAACCGGAATGCAAAGGGAAGGGTCGCAAAAACTCGTCCTATATTTGCCTTGTACAAGTACACTAGGACTGATATCACAACGCGGTTAGGTAAGGCCTTAAATAAGAAGCATAAAGCATTTGCCGTTGATCAATCCCTTTTTGGGATGCGGCACGCATTCTACTTCCATTTGTACATTCGTAGTGGCGTTTGAATGCGATGTGGCCTATACAATGACTTGCGGGGGCCAGCCGATGTACAAGTCAGTGTTTTTATCCTCCCAGACAAGTCTGGTACCAATTAACCGACCCCGGAGGGATGGAAGGCTTGGTTGGCCCGGGCGACTCACGACCCAGGATTTGATCCCCGGACCGCTCGCGTGGTAAGCGTGCCACTTGCCACTACACCACTTCCGCCCATCAGGCCTTATTGGTCATTATTCATGCTAAAAGAAATTATTCACATACATGCAGTGCAGCCATTTAAGGGCATTACTGAAACCAAAAAGGTTTAACGAGCAAAATAGAATACATACATAGCAAATATTAACTAATAAAAATTTGAAAGCTTCAAAAAGCAGCCTCCTCAAAAACCTGCCTCTCTACCGCTTCAATTGCAATAGTTTGTCATCACACTAAGGAGAGGAGTCAACATCTTCGTTGCGCCTACTACCAAACAGCAATCAATGCTGCATTCCAGGATCGGTTCATGTTCTACCTTTCCCAGGAATCAAATTAAGGCAAATGTTCGCAAAACATAATGCGTGCTATTGCGGTTGCAGAGTTCAAGGAGGAGCAAACATGTAAGCAATATGCCTAACCACTGCTTAGTGAACGCTATGAATAAAAGTAGCAGCAGTTGAAACCAGTGCAAGCATAATATGGATTGATAACTGGACTTATTTCACAAAAACTAGCTTTCCCCAATATGAACAATGCTACTTTTCTTAACATGAAGAATGCGTACTCGAGCTCATTAGTTCGGATACATCACTGATTTGGAATTGAAGAGTTGAGATATAGAAGGGTGTTAAAAGGGAAAGGGCCAGCCACATATACCAGTTCCACCTGCTTCAACAGCTGATTACATTGCTTAAAATTCCAATTCTCACAATTGCTGCTATTCCAGAAACTGATAATCCTACCATGTTATTACGTCAGAAGTAACCGAAACCTCTTTCGCGATTTTGTGAGATCTGGTCTTCACAGAAAATTGCGATGGAACAACAACCAAGCCCACAGACCAATTTACAGCGATGACAAAGAAACCGTGCTGATTGTGTGCAACTGACAAACTCTTCTGAGAGCGAGCTTTTTTGCAGGCTTTCACCCAACATTGTTGACGCGGGAACTTCGAGCACATTTTAGTATGAAGCAAGCAGCCGTCAAAAAAAACATACCGGTCGCGATCTGTTTTATAGATTCGAGCAATTTCGGGCACCAAGGGATCATCGGGATTTGGATCACACAGGAGTGAGCAGATTGAC